ATCGTGGCGACCAAAACTGAATGCAGTATTCCAAGTGTGGCCTTACCAAGGCATTATAACCTGGGATTAACACTTCCTGTGATCTTGATTCTATCCCTCTGTTTATGCAGCCTAGAACTGTGTTGCTTTTTTGGCAGCTGCTGCACACTGCTGGCTCATATTTAAATGGTTGTCCATTAGGACTCCAAGATTCCTCTCACAGTTACTACTATTGAGCAAGGTATCACCTATACTGTACCTGTGCATTTCATTTTTCTTGCCTAAATGTAGAACCTTACTCTCACTCTACAACCACAGATGTTATTAAACATATCTGTCAGGAGGAAAGGAAGGGGTTAAAGGCATAGTTATATACTTTTGCAATATTTCTTGATTGGTATAAGATATTTGGAAGGCTCCCGCTCTCTTGCCTCTCAGAGTTTATTGCTCTTTAGGTGGTTTGTGAATTGAAGGTCAACATGGAGCAATGTAGGAATGAAACTTGACATTTTTTCACTGATAGCATGCTGCTTTGCTTGGATAGTGCTGATAGACTCTTCTGGTCTTCTGCATATGATACTGGTTCTGTCCCTCAGATAGCAGGCGGACTCAGCAGTTGGCCAGATCGAAGCAGGAACACACAGAGGTGCTAAAATGATTTGAACTGGCTGAAGCTACAGAGACCTGGTTTTACGCCACGGCAGCAACTGTGTCCAAGAAGATACAGGAAGCTTTCAGTGCTTTGCACTTTCAACTATACCGCTGCCACAACGACAACTCATTAGAGCTGACTTATTGAAAAAGGCTGCTTAATCATATGTGCATAGAACCCCAGGAATAAGAGTACTGTTAACAGAATACCCTGTGCATTTTTTATCCTTTTCACACTGAGATGTCTAATCCACAGCTTTTATTTCCTTCCCATTATTCCCAACAGGCAGTAGACAACTGGATGGATAGCTGACATGGATAGTGAAAAGGTTGGCTTACATGGAAGATAAATAATCTCCCAATCTCAAATGATTCCAAATGTGGATGTGGGGAATGACTTTGCAAACTGAAATGACATAATGGAGGATATTGATTATGCTCAGTATTAAGAACTGGACATAAAAATTCATGCATCTTTTATCTGTGTTAAATATGATGACAACATGAAAGAGGAGTATCGGTTCTTTTTCAAAAATTAATGTTCCTTTCAAATTGTATTATTCCTGTTATTAATGTGATCCAGTTCTCAAACATTTTTATACAACTGTAGTGAAGTATCACAATGAATGTCAAAACTTAAGATTAAAGAAAAATATATTTTACAATGCCTATTCATTAAATTTCAGATGCTGAATGAAATGGAGATTTAGAGGATATTTCTTTTGCTCCACAACGTAGGAAATACAGTGAGAAATGGCTTTAGATAGGACATATAACTGTATGTGGCCCTGAAGGTATGACCTCATCCTATTTTACAAGTGAATCTCAAAATGCAGAGGTTTTATATTAGGTATTTAGGGTTTAGGGTTCAATAGACTTTATTTTGTATTGCTCACTAAGTCCTTTCTTTTATTTTTTGTATCTTAATTGAAAATTGTTGAGGAATGTCACCTGGGAAGAATTTTATGTCATATGGATCTGACAATGTTCTGTGAACCAGAATCCCTGAGAATATGTATTTTTCTGAATTTTGCAATGCAATTCTCAGCTTAAAAAAAGAAAGAAAAGGAAAGGAAAGAAAACTAATGTAACTATATTAGTAAAAAAGTCATATAGACAAAAACTGGGAAACAGGTATACAGTAGGAAACATATATACCCCAAAATAAAAGTGAATTTATAGGCTTAACTGTTTCTCTACTCATTTGTGGTAATAAATGTACCAGGCCCTACTTTTATTTTATTTGTCATCCTTCATTTTTATAATGCTCAATATCTGATAAAAGTGGAGTTTATAAAAAGTTGGATACTTGCTTTGCCTCTGAATGGATATCTACTACAACTTTTTGAATCCACCTGAACAATACAAGGTCTACATCTGTTCAAGTGCAGTTTTATCTTTCTGTAGCCAATTTTTCTGGTATGAAAAAATACAGAAGGATTAAAAAGAAAACTACAAATGATTAGAACAGAAAATATCCAGAGTTACTATTTTCAGAAAGAACATGCTTCTTCTTGACTTGTTTAGTAGAGAAATTCTTCACAGCTTTGCCTTAGACAAAAGTTACAAAAGGAAAACAAGATCTACATACTGTTATATATTTGGGTAGGGGCGTAATGGCTCAGTGGTTAAAGATGCTGAACTTGTCAGCTGGAGAGCTGACAGCCCAGATTCAAGACCCGAGCTTTGTGCAATAGGGTGAGCTCCTATTACATGCCCCAGTTCCTGTCCACCTGGTAGGTAGAAAGCATGCAAATACAAGTAGATTAATAGGTATCACTTTGGTGAGAAGGTAACAGCATTCTGTGTGCCCTTGGCATACAGCCATTCTGACCATATAACCATGGAAATTGTCTTTGAACAACATTGGTTCCCTTGGGCAAAAAAAGGAGATGAGCACCATGTCCTAGATTTGGACACAACTGACAGGGAAACCTTTACCTTTATATATTTTGTAAGCAGTTTAGCATAAAAACTGCTTTGCTTTATTGCTAGGCTAAAACATAGGAAACATATCATTGTATGGCTAACCTAGAATGGTTAATTCTCAGTGGTAGTTACAATGCATGACACTATTTTTTTTAAAAAAAAACACGCCTAAGCTCTATATGTGAACTTTACATTAAAACTAGATACCCTCTAAGTAAACTCCAAACTCTCTTTCAACTTTATGTGCTTTTTTTGTATTTCTTCCTCAAATATTATACTATTGAATGTATTAG